AAGTGGCTAGGAGAGATGCTGCTTCAGTGGTGGTGAAAAAGACAGGCCTCTCTTTATCTTTACTCATCTCTATGTTCAAGCATGGTATTCCACGTATCAGATTTATTTATTCACACCAACTATTTTTCTAATGATTAAAGCAGTGATATTCCTCAACTTGCTGCGTCTGGATTCAGCCCCAGCCACTTGACTGAAAGTGTTTTTGCCAAGGTCGCCAGCAACATCCTTGCTGCAAAATCAAATGGGAATTTTTTTTGGTTTTTATCTTGTTTGACCTCTTTGTAGCATTTAACACTATGACCATTGCATCCTTTTGAAATACTTTCTTTCTTTATCTTTTTAAAAGCCTTCTGTTCTGGCTCTTCTTCCCTCCTCTGATAGATCCTTCTAAATAGTTCTATTTTGAAGGATCCCCTTTTGCAAATCCTTTGCATGCTGATATGAATTCGTACCCATATATTGATGTCCCTTCAGTGGCTTCCCACTGGACATCTTGCAGTGTCCCATGGACTCCCCCAAACCCGCTTGTTGTCCCATGTTCTCTTTCTCTGTGGGTGGTGCCACCCCCCAGGGGTCCCAGTCAGATTCCAGAAGGGTCCTCAGTGCCCCTCTGTCCCTTGTTTCTCAAACCCAGTTCAGCCCTGTAAATTCAGCCTCTTCTAGGTCTGTAACCTGCCCTACAATTAAAAGGGGGGCATAAATGCTGGGATAAAGTCATAAAAAATAGCTTTGATAGTCATTAGAGCCATTGCATTCCACTTATTGAAATCAACATATCTTATCCTACTTTTGAAAGCAAGGCGTGCTCGGTGATCACTTCCTAAGTTACATAAATGTCTAATGACTATATTGAAACTAATACAACATTGTATGTCAACTGCAATTCAAAGACATTTTTTAATTTTTTACTAGGTCAGAGAGTGATACATGCCCTCAGCCTAAACAACGCAGGGAAGGGACAGGAGGTGCGAGAGGATTTTAGGCAATATTAAATAGCGTGGTCGGACTGTTCTTCTGGACCTTCATAGCTGAGTCTGGGGAAGAGGGGCCCTTTTCCGCTATGATCGCAGAGTCGTTGGGATACGAGCCTCAGAGCTGACGGGGCTGCTGCTCCAGCTTCGTGGAGAAGCTGGGCTTTACAGCCATGGAAGCAAGGCTTATAAAAAGTGGTTATTATCTATTGCAACAGAAATTCCAAGAAATAAATAATTAAACAGGATACATATAAACCACTAACTACATCTAGATGGATTATCCATGAGAAGAAGGCTACAAACCACATTCAAGAGCTTTGACGTGACATATAAATATAAAATGTAATTAAGTAAGTCTAATTCAATCCCTCTGACTTAATCATCAAAGAAGGAGAGGCCGAAAAGATTAAAACAATTTAAAAATAAGACCCTTATGTAACAGTGTTACAAGTAAATTCAGAAATAACAATGCGACATTATTGAAATATCCAGATTATTGCCAGGATTTACTGCAATTGGTTTTCTCTAATATGCATGTGCTTCAGATTATAAAACCAGGAAGTACATTTGTATGATGAATGAAAGACCGACACATTGATCAGCTGAAACTTTTCACACATTTCCCACAATCTAATGTAAAAATAATATAACCTAATATTCAAAATGCTATCTTCATTCCACATAAATTTAAGGGTAAGCCACCAATTCTTTGATTCAAGGAGAAAATGGTAGATTTCCCTCCTGTTATACAAGCTATGTTCATCAAGTATAAAATCAAAGGACCATATTGTCATACTTATTGCTAAAGACAAAATACATTTCAGTACAATAAGGTACTTTCCAAAGGAAAACATTGTCTATATACCAACACAGTCAACATCTGAGAAAAAAGGGCAAGGCCAAAAGTTCCAGAAAAAAATATTAATATTATATTTTACCAATGATCTTTCAAGCCAAGTATGCTTTTGCTTGGGAACATAACTTGGGGCCAAATGTCTGGCAAAAACTATTAAACCAATGCATCCCTTGAAGTTCCAATTCACCTGCTTTAAGATTTCAGATCTTTACATGAAACGATTGTTTGTTTACTCTTAGGTCTTCATATGCCTCTATTTGCTTTATCTCTGTAATGAAAGTTTAAGCTCCCTGAATGCAGGTGCTCAGTCTGTATGGTGTTTGTATCACCTACTAACCCCCCTTCCCCAACACTGAGATTCACAAAATGAAAGCCTGAAAACAAGTGAACAGACCCCACATCACATACTGCGTCACACTGGATCTTCGAATCTGCAGTGGTCACAGGCTGGGGATGGCTGACTGCCTCAAATCAATTCTCTCATGGCCACACCTGTGGGACCCCTTCACTGGTTAAGGACTCCACTCCTCTGGCCACAAGAGCAGGCACACACACACCAGTCTTGCCTAAGAGTCTTTCCTCTGGACCTCCCAAACCATTCCTGGGCAAGAGGAGTCCTTTCCTCTGCACTCTCGGATAATGAGCCTTGGAGCTGTCAGGCGCTGCTGCCCCAGCCATGGGGAGAAGCTCATCTTCACAGAAAGCAGAGAGGGGAGGCAGTGAGAGGCCAGATGAGCCAGACGTGGCTAATGCCAGCTTCACCCCTGCTCTTCCCACAGGTAGGTTATAAGAGCCAATGAATCCCGTCGACTTACTATCACTAAGTCATGTAAGGATTCCATCACTGGAAGCCAGAATCCTAACTAGCACAGATGAAATTTGTATTACTGTAAGGGCTCTCGGAATCCACGAGGTCCAAAATCCTCAAGTTAGGTATTAGAAAAATAGATTAGGTAGAGAGGTTAAGCACCTTGCCTAAAGTCTCCAATGAAATTGTAAGGAAGCAGGAAATGGTGGCAGATCCTGCAGGTTGGCTCACCCTCATTCATTCTAACTCCAACATTTCCCAGTCTTCTTGCAGCTAGGGTGCCGGCACATGGCCTAAGTTCCCGGGAAGCACAGCCATCTAACCAGGACTTGGATGAGAAATAAGCAATGAGAGGTGGGCACTGTATACAGGGAGTTTGTATCTGCTGGGGAGCAGGGTGGTGGAGCCATGTGTTTTTCTGAGACATGGTGGACTCCGGCGCACAGTACCCTACCTGCCTGGCACAGCAGAATGTGTGTGTGTGTGTGTGTGTGTGTGTGTGTTAGCTGAGCAATACCCAAACTGGTTCTATGGTTCTCCCAAAATACTGAGAGCCACCTACTAACTTTCAATAAATCGCTTTCTGCTTAAACTAGTTAGAGTTCTGTTTGAGACTGAGAACTCTGATGAATACAGAATTTGGTGCCTGGAAATGGGGCACTGTACTCTGAAATGTGGGATCGGATTACTGGGGGAAGTGGGACTTGGAACAGCAAAGGCACAGATGCCGACTGAAAGCAGAAAGCTGGTAACTCTCATTATGTGGTGACAAAGTTTTGTCAAATTGTTCCATGCTGTGCCTTAGAAAGTAGACTGTTTACTGTGGATGCTCCATTAGAAGAAGCCATAACAAAAAATTTATCCTAGAATGAGGACATTTAATAGTACCCACAATTCTTAAACCCCATCCCAAATTCAATACCACTTGGAAATTATGTTTTAGCTGAGTAACAAACTCAAAAAACAGTGAAACACATTAGGGATTTTCTTTCTCTCAAACCTGAAGATTAACGGAAACTATACAGAGAGCATTGTCTATGCAGTTCATATGTTCAAAGTGGCAATCCCAAATCATCAATAAAAAAGTTAAATGATGAGCAGCACTCTGTCTGAGAAGAGACAGGAGTAGATCATATACTATACAAATATTTCATTGAGTGTACTTCGTATTTTGCTCATGTGTATTGCTTTGCAACTTAAAAATACTTTCCCATTTCTGCCCCCAGCCCTTCCTTTCTCTCCCCTTCCCTCTCTCTGTCTCTTCCCCTCTCTCAATCCCCTTTCCTGACTAGCATTTGTTATCTCGTGGTTTCTTGTTTCTCTTCTTTTCTTTCTATCTTTTTTCCCCCTTGATAATAGCATTCTAACAAGTGTGAGGGGACATCTTACTGTGGTATTGATTTGCATTTCCCTGATGATGAGTGATGTTGAACACCTTCTCATGTACTTGTTGACCATTTGAATGTCTTCTTTAAAAAACATCTATCCAAGTCCTCAGCCCATTTTTTAATTGGATTGTTTGGGTTTTTTTGGTATTGAGTTATAAAAGTTCCTTATATATTTTATATGTTAGCCCTTTATCAGACATATGGTTTGCAAATATTTCCCCCCATTTCATAGGTTGCCTTCTCATTTTATTGGTTGTTTCTTTTGCTGCGCAGAAGCTTTTTCATTTAATGTAGCACTGCTTGTTCACTTTTGTTTTGTATTAATTTTAAAATGTAAGTCTTGCATTCTCAAAATTCAATTTCCCCCTCCACTTTTCATCATTGGTAAAGAAAAGGGAAAGAAGTGGAAATGAAGCAGAACTTTTCCCTGTAACACTCATATTATTATAAACTATTACTTCTCTTCTTAGGAGAAGTAGCCAAAGGAGAGCACCTGCCTTCTCTCATTTTATCTCCTTCACCTCTCTAAGCCTCGATTTCTCCCTATGTGCAGTGTGGGAATTCAAGGCCTTTCAACGTTATGTCCCGATGAGTAAGTTCACTGGATTGGCTTGGAGGAGCTTGGTCCTGTGATCACGGCAGGTCCACTTTAGAGGTGAGGCGAAAGCGAGGGCACCGGCCTGCTGGGGTGGGGGTGGTAGGGCCCAGGGCAGCACAAGACCTGTGCAGGGGGCACTAGGAGAGAGCAGTCTGGGGAAAGGGATCCTAACGTGGGGGAACTGGAACCCCAGATGGGGCGGTGGCATGGGCACAGGAAACCATGATGAACTCCAGCAGGTTGCTTTGTCTGGGGTAATCACCTAAATCCACCATTTCGAATACTCAGGGGGCTATTTAATGACTAGTATAATTGATGATGGTGATATGAAATTAATGGGTTCTTAGAGCTGTAACTGTAAAACATGAATCCTTACCCATTCCAGTCCCTGCTGGGGCAATTTCTCTTGAAAAAATTTCCACTGCCTTCTTCTCTCTATGATGTATGGAAAGCCAGAGAACTACTTCTCGAGGACCCTATTAACAGAGAGTAGAAATTAACAAATGCAGAGGACAAAATAAGGCACAAGTCTGTATTTGCATACCACAGGAGGAGATGTTTTCTGGACCATATAAATATTTCTGGTTTGCGTGTTTATTATTATAAGTTTTCCCAATTATGTCATACATGTCCACAAAATAAACATCTTATTAAAAACAGATGATAACGCTCTTAGTTCCCTATAAAATAAACATAATTACTTTTACCTTAGGAATATAACTTGCCACATGGTAAAGACAGTTTGGAAAATGGCTAAAATTGTATTTGTAAAATTCCTTTGTTGCTTTTTCCATTTATCCTTTCTTTTATTTAATTGATGTCCATTACTTTCTTCATATGACAGTTGATTTTAAATTATATGTGTCAAATTTCTATACTTCAATTTCTCTTGAAGAGCATTTGCAACACAGATGACCTATAATCCTCAGGTAGTTTATTATAGAATGAATCAATTTTCCTACTTTGAAACAGAATTAACTATAAAAGTATGTAAATAAAAATGTCATTTAAGAATTTTAAGAATTCAGCAATCACCTTCTTGGAATCATCATTTGGAAGGTCACCAGAAAGAGTGAAATTCTGAGGTCTAGTTCTGCCTCTTACTAAGAAGATCTGCTTGTCCCTAATTGTCAATTTACGTCTCCATATACTTTATTTTCTTTTCCAGTAAAATACAGATCGTATCAGCTTTCTAACTACGTCTTAGAGTTATTAAGATAAAATAATGTGGCATCAAATGTGAAACACTTCTTCAAGTACAAATACAGGATATAATTATTTTAATAAGACCAATAATTAAACTACTTTTCCCATTAAGTATGCTGTCAGTCTCTCTAAAACCAACTTAATGAATCCAACAATTTAATTACGTGACTAAATAGAGGTTCATGGGCACATCATGAAAAATAGACATGTGTACTGTTTTCAAGCAAGCTTTAATAAAGAGCCCCTTCCAAACAACAGATTAAAAGTTGGCTTTCATAATAACCTTTCATTTTTAAGTTCTACATTCACTAATTCAAATTCAGTCAATTAAATATGGCAATTAAACCACCTAGCATTAATAGAGCACATATTTTTATGTACAGTGAAATATCTACACTTTGACACCTGGTTCTGTTCCTGGGTTTTATCAAGCATCTAAAAATTTCTCATATAATTCTAAACAGCCCCTAAGTTTATATCCTGACCTTACCACACACTAGTCTACAAAATAAAATGCAGGAGTGCTTGGCATTTGGGGGCTTTATAAAATGAAATGAATAACAGGCTGCAGAAATTCTGAAACCGAGAATTCTTTCTCCAAAACATTTAGCCGATAGCTTGTTGAGCTTACTGTTTTATACAGAAGAGAAAATTTCCTAAACAGAAGAGTCTCCATAGAGATCTGGACACAGAATACTTGAGATATTTAATATATCTAAGACTATAACAATATTATTTTTCTCTTCTAAAATTTAATGAATCATCTTTTTATGTTTCTTCAAGCCTTAATAATCCAGTTACGAAAGAGGTAGATCTTCTCCATCGACTCTACATTGACATGAAACTCTTGCTCCTAATGGTTAAAAGTGCAAATGCTGGCAGGCTGCAGGGGGTTCAAGCTTTGGTCCCGCCCCTCATTAGCTGTTTGACTGTCGGCAATTACTCAACCTCTCTGTGCCTGAATTTCCTCATTTGTAAAACAGAAATACCAACACTGTACCTAAAAGGGTTGTTGTGAGAGCTAAATGACCACAAATAAAGCATTTAGAATAGTGCCTGGCTCATATTAACCTCTCCATGAGTGTTGTGATTGTCACTGTTGTTACTGTATTTCCCATACATCTTTCTATCTTTGATTAACACTTAAATGAAGGAAATAACAATAGGCCAAAATATCTACAAATAATCCAGAATAAATAAAATGGTCAAAGCTTTGTGAATATGACTGTTGAGGTTCAAAAGCCCTAAAAGCTAAAGATGTGAACAGAAACTTATGCAAGACACACCTGTAATAATGCTGTTAGAAATAAATATACAATAGAGAAAAAAACTACCCAGGCAAGGTCAAATTAATTATCCATCATTTAATGAGACATTGATGACTTTATTTTGTTTAATTTGACCATTCATATTTTTTAAATAGTCTCAAAATACCTTGGGTTAAATTAGATTAATGAAACTGACTTTTAATGGGTGGTCACAATAGATTTGACATATTTTGTATACTGAATTTTTTAAATGTAAGCAAAAACAATTCTGAATCTCTTATCTCTTTTCTAGTAAATAGCTAGGAAATTTCCTATGAGAATGGGAGAAATATTATTTCTGTTTTTGCTGTGAAAGGGTATATATTAAGAATTCACCAGAAGTTAAAAATTTAAATATTCAAAGCCCTCCAAACACTTAAAAAAAAGATTTATTTTTGGACAGAAGGAGAAGGAGAGAGAAAGGGGGAGAGAAACATCAATGTGTGGTTGCCTCTTGTGCGCCCCTGCAGGGGACCTGGCCCACAACCCAGGCATGTGCCCTGACTGAGAACTGAACCAGAGACCCTTTGATTTGCAGGTGGGCGCTCAATCCACTGAGCCACACCAGTCAGGCTCTCTAAACACTTTTGAAGAAAACCATATATGTGACATCCAAGAGCCTAAATATAACTCAAATATGAAAGGTGGAATTAGAAAGAAAGAGGACAGAATTGGAGTGAGTTTTGCCATAGGCAAATAGAAAATTGAAATCAAATAACTAGCTTGTTATGGAGCATCGATTTTAAAAACATACACTATAAAATAGAAGTAACCCAAAATTCATAACTCATTAAACTTTAGTCAACTTGGTCTTTACAATAAATACTTTCACCCACAAGTGATTAAGAATATTCCAAACCATTCATTTCCATTGGAATAAGAAATGTGCTGTTCTACTTACTCCATTTAAATTTGCTTTAGCTTGTGCTCCATATGTTTCTTCAGATCCTAAAATTTGAATGTGTACTTTACTATAATCTTCTAAACCAGCCTCTTCAAACATAAGACGAGTTCTGCAGCAAAGTATATGTGACAAAAAGAATCATTAATTTATGGTAGATCAATTCCAGCATTCCTTTTGTTTTGGTTCCTGACAAATAGCACCCATTTTGGATCAATAACAGTTACAGCTGAAGGTACTGGGGAAATTTAGGGCACTTAATGGTATCAAGTCATTGTGAATATTAGCTTTAGTTTCAAACCACAACATTTGGCATGTTATAGCCTCAATGTCCTTATTTTCTAAACAGTTTAAAATTGAGGAATTTTCTCCTTTATCCAATAATTACATGTGCAAGTATGTTTTATATTTCTAAGAGATTAGAGGTTATACTTTTTATTGTTGCTTAAAGTATTGTTATTAATCTATTATATTACATATGGTCAAAGGATGTTGTCTGTAAAATTTCTACTGTCTGAAATGGATTGAGCTAGCCTTAAGGAAACTTGGAAACAAGGTACATACTTGTATTTTGGAAGAAAATGTTCTATCTATTAGTTATTAATTCAACACTATTATATTATTCTAATACTTTGTTTTTTAGTCAATTTGATAAATATTAATATCCGTTAAAATTTTCCATAGCAATTGTATTTCTCTCCATTTCTCTTTAGGTACCTAGTAGTTCTGACCTAAATGTTTCAATGCTGTGTTACATAGCACAGCAAAGCACATGACTATCTTTATTGTGCATGATACCATTTATCATGCCATTTAAATCATACTTTACTATCAATACCATGTTCCTTTATTTTTCTTCTCATGTTCCTCCTCCTTTTTCTTATTTCTCACCTATTCCAATATTTTTGACTTTCTTCAATTGTTTTATTTCAGTGCGCAATATAACACTTAGTTGTTCTTTGATTTGAATCTATTCTGTACTATCTTTCAAGTGAGCAGTTCGTAACATTTGTTTATTTACACAACTATGATTTTGACTTGAGATATTGTTTTATGTTGTTTTAATGTTTGCTTTGTTTTCTAACTTTTGGAATAGTCTTTCATTCATTCAGCAATATTTACTGAATAAGGTGTGTCCGATATTGTGACATGTAACTATGTTTCCATTGCTTTTAATTTATTTTATTTTGTGTCTAAGAAGGTACTTATCTTTAAAATTTTTCTGTTTAAACATCACTTAGTAAAACCTTCCTTGGCTGCTAAACATAAATTATGTCCCCCTATTATTCTTTTTTATAACACCTTTTAATATTTATTCGAAGTACTTTCAATTCTTTGAGGGTTTTTAGTTTAATGTCTATCCATATACTAATCTCCATCAGGATGGGCACTTGTCTGCTCACAACTGTATACTCAGGGCCCAGAAATGATTGGCCCTGTAGTAAGTGATTCAAATATTAGTCGAAAGAGAATTAATTAATTAATTAATAATGTAGATCAAATTAAAAATTCAAATTGCAGTTGCCTTTAATTTAAAAACACTTGGATTCTATATCAAGTAATGGGATGATGGGCTATTTTCATTCATTTCCCTGTTTATACATTTTTTGCTCTTTATTAAAATGTTTTATGATCACCATTGCTGATAAACAATGAAATAATGTGATATGAGTTCCCTCCTATTAAAAAAGAAATTAGCATTAATTTGCCTTTTTATATCTCTCACCAATCCTTCCTCATTTTTATTAATGGGGGTTTCAATCTTTAATCCAGACTCTTGTGATAAACTCAGTAGCATGCTTTCAATACATGACATAGTAGGGACCATTACTGCTGTGGATTAGGATATCAATTATTTGATTTAAGTATCAGAAGTTTTATAAATGTTGTTAAATTGAGTTACAGAAATATTATGGAATTTCTTTATATGGATTTTTTTAAAAAGGAAAGAGAACTTTCTGGGACAAACTAACTGATTTCCAGACACCAAACACTTGTAGGTACCACATGACCTGTGAAAGGGGCAGTTACTTCTCATTCTATTGCCTGTATACATTGTGTTAATATTCTAAACATACTCTTTGGGTTAAAACAAAAAGTATAGGCTTTCTAGCAGAATTGGCACCCATAACATTTCTCTAATGCTTACCTGTTTCTAGGTATGTGTGCACACTAAACTGCAAAGGTGTTGGTGCGGGGGGAGATTTGTCTCAGTGCCTGCCACTTAACACATGATATGCTAATGAATACACACTTGTACATATGTTTCAGGGAAATATTAAGTGATCATAATAATGATTCTTGTTAAGTACCTTGGTCACTAACATGCTTTCAATTTAATTAGACCGGAAAGCCCATCTTTTTGTTTCATTCACGTACAAACCTTTTCAAAATACTTTCAGCTGTTCTCCTTCCCTTTTCAGTTGCTTTTGGTCCTCCCATGGGGCAGAGAGCTGTTGCTTTGAAACCATCGTGGTAACACGCACTTACCTGATAACACAAGGTTACACATATAAACAATGGTATCATCTATGCCAGCAGTAATATGTCCTACACTGGACCACGTAACTACTGATCAGAAACTATCACCTATTCCAAATAAATCATAAGTAAAGTTGCCTTAAGTGAAATAATAACTTTCATAGAGGTAAAGTGGAAACTTTAAAAATAAATGGGGGTGAGGGGGATAAGATTATAAAAAAATGATTTCATTGTAGAAAGTTAGAAAAAGACATAAATACTGGTTTAAACCGAGTTGTAGCTTTATTTTTAATGGAGCTATATGGCAAAGAATAAGTCTATCACATATAGTTTCAAGAAAAATTTCTAACTGCAAACATTAGTATAGATCTAATGAGTACTGCTTAAAATTATGGAAGAAACTGAACGCGCTGTGAAGGGATATCCCAATTACCAAGTAACAAAAACAAGATACCAACAACTCAAGAGTAAATTGAGATTTAAATTTCATTATAAGAAATGTGTTCTTTCAAGACTACTTTTGAGTTAACACTGAATTAAATAAACTCTTTTAAACTTTAACTAGCTAAATAACTAAATAATTAATTACAAACATATCTTACCTTTAAGGCTGAATTTAGATAAATATTTTTATGGCTTTCAATTGTACTGCTATTTAAGCTTCCAATGCAGCTTTTTCTTCTACTTGGGATAGAATTTGCAGATACTCTATTGGAAACAGTCTAAATGTCCAACAAGGATGTAATGATTAAGTAAATTATGATATATGCTAATAATGTAATGTATGGAGAACATTTGAAATAATGTTAAAGAGTATTTAAACATGAGGAAATGTTCCTAATGTTAAATTAATATAATCAAAATATCTAAATATGTGTTTATATTTCCATGTGACTGTCATGCTTTTTTTGTTTATGCTGGTTTAAATTGTTACTTGCTAGAATATATGTAGATTATTAATGGAAAATCCATTGAAAAAACTTCATTTTTTTTAAACTGATACTTTGCTTTTAAGAAACAGCATTACTTTGTAACCATCAGAGCCCTTGTTAAAACAACAGGATTAAAAAAAGCACACTTGCCTAAATTTTATTTTCTTTTATGAACATAACACATCTAAAATAGTAACATTATTTTTAATACCATAAAGATATACGTTCTCTGTATTAATACTTCAAAACCTACCCTATGGTTCTTTTCTATGATGCATCATAATTGTGGTCCTTCATACATACACACCTGTAGTTTCATATAAATAATGATTACCTTAAATTTAAGAAATTGCCACAGTATAAATATAAATTCTGGGATTTATATGTACCAATTAATCTTACCAATATCAAGAAACCAAAGATGGTCTGTGGGCTTATCCTCCCCCATGTTTTCTGCTTACTTTCTACAGGAAATTAATACTTTATGCCTAATTAAATACTTTATCTATTGCAGAGGGAAATTACTGTGTTTCTTTCCTAAATTCTAAACAGGTAACAAAATCACACAAGAGAAAAGACCTTATAAAAGGAAGAAGGAAACCATCCTTTTGCTCCTTGAACACGCACTGCTCCACCTTCAACACCTAAACATTAAAGAGAAAAACAGGATCACTTATTTTAATACAAAATCTGCTTATTACTTTTTTTATTAAAAAATTCGTAATCCTCACTAGGACATAGTCATTTATTTTAGAGACAGGAGAAGGGAGGAAGAGAGACAGGGAGAGAAACAGTGTGAGAGAGAAACATGGATTGATTGCCTCCCACACATGCCCTGACCCGGGGGCAGAACCCACAACCTAGGTATGAGCCCGGGCCGTGAATCCGGCTGGCGACCCTTAGCCTATGGGACGATGTTCCAACCAGCTGAGCCACACCAGCCAGGGCTGTTCATTACTTTTACTGCACAGCTGGGTTTTTGTTGTTGTTGTTGTTTTTTAATGAACTCAAAAATTAAAGAATGAAAAATATTAGAAATTCCCCTAAAACAAGAAGTACAACTTATTTTAACTTGCTATCTATTTAAATTACATCACTGACAAAATCACAACAAGCCTTTTAAGCTTCTGAACACATCCTTGTGAAATGAAAAGGTCTTTATCAGGCTCACCAATGAAACTGTCGTTACTTAGTGAAGTGTCAGAAAAGTTGGGCTAATGACAGCTTAATACAGTTCACATTCTTATCTTACAAATGCAGTTGTGTGTCATTTTACACATTTATGTCCATTAAGTATAATCTCTCTGAACTAAATAACATCTAAAACACTATTCAGGATGAATAAATTATGGTATGAGAACAAAGCGTGTGTTAATAAAAATTGGTTCTAAGCACGAAGATGCAACTTACCATGCGGATAAATAATATGCATGCCTGCATTATTTGGTAAATGTGATAGATGTATCTCCTTTTTTATAGACAATAGGCAATTTCAAGAGAAGCAAAAATCTTAGTTACTATCTTCATATCATTGAAGGTAGTTCTGAGGGTTTTTAACCTAACTTATGTAACAACATTGTACAATAGAAATAATAAATAAATAGAAAACTCTTTAAATTCTCAAAACAAACATTATAAAGATATTATAGTTTTATCACACTTCTATCTTTAGTATCTATTTGATTAAACAAACATTTTATTTCTTTGAGCACAAAACTGTTGAGGGAGCAAGGACTTGAAAATATGGGAGAGCTAGATTTAATTCCCAGGTCAGCTGTGTGTTCTTAGGCAAGTTACTCAGCCTCTTTGTCTCACTTTCCTCTTCTGTGAAATGAGCATAAAACCTCCTTCGGAAGAGAGCTGTAAAGATCACATAAATACTAGAAGGAACCTATCTCACACCATGGCAGTGGCAATATAATAGTTGGTGCTCAATTAATTTTCCTCTTCTCTTTTCGAGTGACTGTTCAGAAACCATGTGCATTTTGAACTGAATTCCTAGCTGCAAACTGTTCAAAGTGAGAAACAGTATAGCTGATTCATATTCTACAACCTGAAACGAATCTTTAAAGGACTCTAGTATCTAAATCATTTGAAACAATATTATTTAAATAGATTCAATAAAGTTCTCTTAGAATTTCTTACATTTTACGACCCCGTGAGTTTTGTCTTGAAATGCATTTACAAGTATTGATTTAAAATCAAGAAGCCAAACAAAAATATAGCTGTACCTCTTAATTTAGGCATATAATATAACTAAACAGGCTGTAGTACCATAAAGTCAGCAAAGTAAACACTGGAAAGAGATAGTTGGCCATGTCGTTCCTGTTAAACATGTCAAAGTACGGCATCTAAAAATATTTGAACAATCTGCCTAATTTCCATCTGTTATATTTCTCAGAGGATAACTAAAAGTTCATGTGAAAGTTCATGGTAAGTTCAAATATGTCATATCAGGGCATTTACAGGGTAAAAGTTCACTGGGAGTTTATTATTATTTTTTAAAGACTGAAGTGGAAAAAGAATAAATATACTAATTGAAGTTATTTTAAATTGCATTAAGACCACTGCACTTTTAAGCATCATAAATACAAATTATAAATTTTAAAAGGCCATGTGCAACACATAATGGCAACAGTGACGACGATAAGGAAGATGCCTAAGATAGAACCTTTGGGACTGTTCTTAAAGAAGAAGCAGTAGATCAATTTTGAGTGTTCTTGATATTATTTAAAGAACAAGTTGCCACATTTTGCGTGGTATTGAACATTTTGTTTAAACTACATATTTAGAATCAGTAATATAAAGGCAGAGAAAAAAATAAAAGGACATAAGATATAATAAATGAATATAGGCACATCTCATTTTATTATGCATCCCTTGACTATGCATCAGAAATATTGTTTTTTCCCAATTTGAAGATTTGTGGCAACCCTGAGCCCACCAAGACTATTGGTGTCTTTTTTCCAACAGCATTTGCTCACTTCCTTTCTTTTCTGTCACATTTTGGTAATTCTTGTGATATTTCCAAGTCTTCCATTATTATTCTATTTGATATGATGACCTGGGATAAGTGATCTTGGAGTTACTATTATAGTTGTTTGGGGGAGCCACAAACCATTCTCATTGCCCCACTGACTAACCACTTCCATCTCTCTCCCTCTTCTGGGGCTTCCCTGTTCCCTGAGACACAAAAACATTGAAATTAGGCCAGTTGATAGCCCTACAGAGTCCTCTAAGTGTTCAAGTGAAAAGAAGAGTCACAAGTCTCTCCTTTTAAATCAGGCTGAGTGAGGAAGGCAGGTCAAAAGCTGAAATAAGCGGAAAGCTAGGCCTTTGGGGATGAACAGCTGAATTGTTAGTACAAAGAAAAAGCTTTGGAAGGAAATTAAAAGAGTTCCTCCAGTGAACACTTGAGTGATGAGAGAGTGGAACTGCCCTTTTTTTTTTTTTTTTTCCACTAATACAGAGAAAGTTTTAGTGGTTTGGATAGAAGATCAAACTAGCCATAGCATTTCCCTTAAGCCAAAGCCTAACTCAGAGCAAGGCCCTGACTCCCTTCAATTCTGTGAAGGCTGAGAGATGTGGGAAAGCTGCAAGAGAAAAGTGTGAAGCTAGCAGAGGTTGGTTCATGAGGTTTAAAGACAGAAGCCACCTCCATAACTTAAAGAAGCAAGGTGAAACAGCAATTTCTGATGTAGAAGCCATAGCAAGTTATCCAGAGAATCTAAGCTAACAAAAGTGGCTACAGATTTTCAATGTAGAGAAACAGCCTTCTGTTGAAAGAAGATGCCATCTGTGACTTTTGTAGCTCGAAAAGAGAAGTCAGTGCTTGGCTTCATAGCTTCAAAGGACAGGCTGACTCTCTTGTGAGAAGCTAATGCAGCTGGCAACTTTAAGTTGAAGCCAATCATCATTTACCATGCTGAAAATCCTATGGCCCTTAAGAGTTAGGCTAAATCTCTGTGTGTGCTTTATAAGTGAAAAATCAAAGCCTGGATGGCAGTGCATCTGATTCCAACATGGTTTATTGAATATTTTCAGCTCACTGTTGAGACTGACTCTTAGGAAAAAAGATTCTTTTCAAAATATGACCGCTCATAGACAATGCACCCGGTCACCCAGGAGCTCTGAGGGAATGTACAATGAGGTTAATGATGTACTTCTGCTTGCTAATACAATATCCATCCTGCAGCCCATTGATCAAGAAGTTATGTAAGCATACATTTTATACGCATTGGAAAACCAAAAAAAAAAAAAAAAAAGTGTAACTTGCTTTATTTCTATACTTGTTTTATTGTGGTGGTCTGGAAGCAAACCCCCAATATTTCTGAGGTATGCCTGAATCATCTTACTACTAAATAAATAAAGATGACTTTTTAGTTTACAATTGCTAAGGATGCTATTTAAGGTACACCAATTGTAAGCTACTTATGGCAAATGTAGGAAGCCAAGACAAATATGTTACATTTAGACAAAATTACTAAATCCCTGAAAAAATTCTAAATCAAACAACTATTAGTCAATATTGCTTGAATTGCTGAAGTAAAGAATTTAGATTTTTCTTTTGGGTAAAACCTATTTTTTGAAAAATTTAGAAAAATAACAGTGAACATATATGCAAAATTTAGGACACAATTTCTGGTTTCACAGATTAAAACATTTTCTCCCTATAAAGTACTGGTATTTATTTCGAGTTCAGTAAAGGATTCTAAATGGATTGAGTAGAGGTGCTTGCCACTGTTTCTCACTTCCTCTTGTCTGCAGCTTCACAATATCAGTTTAAGTGTGTAACTTGCTTCTTAAGTTGAAAAACACACTTGTTTCTCTCCATCATATCTATATTCTCTTTATGATGTATTGTCAATTGGTTTTAATTGGATATAACATTTATTTGTTCATTCACTCAGTAAATGTTTATCTTGTATTTATTATTTGCAATACTAGAGATTATAAAGGACACAGAAATTAAACAGAAAAAAAGTCCTATTTTCAAGAAGTCTACAATGTAGTAGAAGACATATGAAACAAAAACAATATATAAATAAGTAAATACGATAAGCTTGAAGTCATTCAGTGCTATGTGAAAGATACAGGTAAAATGATTTGGAAGTTCATAGAAAGCTAATCTTGGAGTTAATTATTAGCTGAATACTTAATTAAGATACTATTTTTCTTTTTTTTATCAAATTGTTAAACAAGTGTTACAAGAAAACTTAAAAAAAAATCTCCCACTTCATTCCAACTACCTTCTAATATATGTCATTGATCACATCATAGAACTGCCATGTTATCTCCACATTTGGCATAGAAAAGATGATATTGGATTTGAAAAAAATACAATTTTACATTAAAAACTCCTAGAGAGAGAGGGAGAGAATGTACTATTTAAAAGCAAAATCATATTAGTTACTGACCTGGAATTTCAGTAATAGAGACTTGAGAAAAGTCACAAGTCACATCAGGTAAGAGGAACCGCTGCGGATCGCCAATTTCATACAGTAGCTGCTCAGCCACTGTACCAAAGGAGACCAGTCCCCCCGTGCCAGGTGGCTTAGAGAGGATGAACTGCCCATCAGGAAAACATTCCAGGACGGGGAATCCTATATTGTGCCTGGGTGAAAAACAGGGACCACCAGGATTCAGAACAGCCAGGAAGAAAACCAAAGGAAAAGGTATTACATTATACCAAACAATATTTCTGATGAGTAACAATAATCCAAAGCTGTGTATTTTACATATTATATTACCTTTTAAAGTCATATGATAGTATTTACATGTGGTAAGTACTGAATATGGATGTTTTCTGGGAGCTGAAGAGAAAGAAATCATAGTGAGAGGAATGGATGAATATTTAATATAGAAATTCAGACACTGTTTTTCAGAAGGTTTGGAAACGGTCTCTAGCTCCTCTTGATGTGAAAGTGATGAAAACCCCAGCAGAATGAAGCATGATATTCAAGAATAAGGCGGCAGGGGTATGAGGCTGCAGGAGCTGAGATGTCTAAAGAGGCCTACACATCATCAGATTCCTGCCCCATGAGATTCCTCTGGTCCCCAGTGAGCCTCAGAGTGGGCATGGCTTACTCCATTGGTGATCCGCTGGCCACCCCCGCCCTGCAGTGATTGTGGGAGGGAGAGGGGTGGGTGGAGAGGGGTGGATGGAGGTGGAAGAGAGTATAGAGAAGATAAATGGTAATGGAAAAAAAATACAATAAAATAATTTTAAAAAAAAGAACAAAGGCCTGAGGACATATTTCTCATTGGTGATATAAGCCTCACGATGTCATGGCTTTCCTATAGTCTGGTGCCACATGACAGCCTACGAAGAGGAGAAGGAAGAGTTCGAAGAGTGAGAAGCACCTGCCTGGCTGTCGACAAAGCTGAGAGAAAGTGTGAGCAGCAAGACTGGAAAGAAATTGCCACTGTCGAGATTGACAGGGATCTGCAATGTCATCTCTAGGTTCCTAATTTACACTAGAGGCAAAGGCCTATGTGCTGTAAGCTTCTTATTAATAAGCTGGCTCATGTAGGAGCTGCTTAGAGTGGATTTCAAGAGACTTCTAACAACACCCTGGATGGAATAGGGTGGTAGAAAAAGGGATTTACCTTTTTCTATCCTGAAATATCCTGAAATTTCAAGGTTCTTGTGTATTCAGTGGATTTAGTACTATAAGAAAGAGATTTTGTTTCTATTTTACGTACTGTATTGGTTTCCTAGGTCTCCCATACAAAGTACCAACAACTGGATGGCTTAAAGCGACAGAAATTTATTATCTTAGTTCTGGAGACTAGAAGTTCAAAATCAAGGTGCCAATAAGCAGGGTGATGCTCTCTCCACGGCTCTAGTCAACAATCCTGCCTCTTTCTTTTCTAGCTTCTGGTGTTCCTTGGTTTGTAGATGCATCACTCAGTTCTGTCTTCACGGGGTCTGTCTTCACATTGTTTTCCCTCTGTGTGTGTCTTTGGCTAGGTCCAAAGTTCTACTTTTTATAAGAACAGAAGTCCTGTTGGATTAGGGCCCATCCTAATGATCTCATTTTCACTTAATTACTGCTGTTAAGATTCTATTTCCTCAGGAAGTCGCATTCTAAGGTACTGGGGGGTAGAGCTACAACATATCTTTGGGGGAACACAATTCAACCCAAAACAAGTACAAAGCTCAGCTTAATAATAAACTAGAGACCAAATAATAAGAATATAAATATACCATATATTATTTTAGGGAAGTGTGATTTTTAACATGCCAAAAAGAATTCTCCTGAAACTTAGCTCTGGATCCTAACAAGAGGATGATAGCTAGGATATAAAGGTTGCCTGTATTTTACAATACAGATAAAAAGCAATATACAGTGCAAAAAAAAAAACGTAAGTTTTAGATTAGCAATAATTACAGTTTAATAAACAGAAAATAAAACTTCTAAATGCAGATGCTATATGCCATGCTATGACACACGCAGACACAACACAGCTTCCTACCAGTCTGGCACCAAATGCCAGTCCGTGAATATCCCACCAGTGCTCTGAGCGCCACATTCAATGAGGTGGCCTGCAAGGCTGCAAAGCAAACAAAGAAAGAAAAAAAGCATGAATATGGTGAGCAAAATTTTCAATACCTGAGCAAATATAAAATACTATTACACATGAAACTTTATTTTCGAAGGTATTGCCATAACAGTAGGAAAAAACTTGGTGACTTTACATGGGTGCCATTTTGTTTTGGTTTGTTTTAATAAAGTAAGCTAATGCTGCTTGGAATAGCAGAAAATACTATGGTCTGAGAATCACAGGAACCTAGGCCAAGAGACTGACTATGATCAACATGGGGCTAATGCATTACTGGTAAAATTGTAAGAATTAACTGAGATACAAATATGTGAAAGCACGATTAAAGATGCAAATTGCTTCAAAATATGAGTTATTACCAGGCTTAAAGTGTGACAATAAATTATCATTCTATTCTAGAATAAGAAAGAAAATGTATAAAATATTGCCACTAAAACATATCAATAAATTGATTATTAAAACTCCCTCTTCAAAAATCTGGAAGATCTGAAACTTTTTACAGAGTTGACAATGAGGGATCCTGAAACACTATGGGTTCTGGTTGTCTGGCCTGTGTGAACCCAAGCTCCACCCCTTCACTCACTATGTGACTTTGGGCAAATTACATAGCCCTGCTGTGTATCAGTTCCCTCAGCTCTCAAAAGGGGATAACAACATCGGCCTAAAAGTAAATTGTGAGAAAAAAAATTATTTTGTGAAGTGCCTATCACAGAGTAGGCATTCAATAAACACGGGTTACTTAGTTTCATAAAATTTCTTCAATCTTTGTAGAAGATGTCTTTCTTTAGCTTTAGAACTCTGCAGTATGAAAGAAGTACAATTATATTCAGTTTAAAATGTATTTAAGATGACCTACCAGATATATATATTTTAATTTCGGAAAAGCTTAAGTAAATTTTACTGTAATGTCGTTAAATGGGTAGAATTATTACTAATATTATTATTAAACTTACCTGCCAGCTGCTAATAAATCATAGTCATTGCTCTTCCAACCAAACTATGAGGAAAAAAACCAAAAAAGTAATTATTTTATTTACAGTTCATTTAGATATAGAATCTTTACAGAGTGAGTATTCAAAATAATTAATTCCCTACTTGATCTACAATACAATTTAAAATAAGTGCATAGACTCAAATACAAAATTATATGGAGAAAGTAACAAAAATGGCTCATAAAAACTTGGAATAGAATTTTGCTGGACAAGATGAAATAACCTGGGCCAAATTTAATTATGACTTGAAACAACAAAGAAGCCAGTAAAATACGTGAAACAACAGCTTTTAAGACATTGGACATCAGGCAACAGAAACAATGTAAAACAAGTGAGAGGAGCCTGTGATTGAGGTGCCAGGCCAAGTGCTTGGAGAGGGAATCCAAATGGAACCTGGTAGATTCCCTGAGTGAAGGAGCTGAGAGTCCACAGTGGCCAACAAGAGTTGAGTTTGCAGGAGAGATTACCACATAGAGAGAACTGTGCAAAGAGAGGACTCCAGAGATCTTACCAGAGCCCCTTGTAAGTATTCAGCTCAAAATTTGCCAGCACATGGGTGTAAAGAAGCTACCCTAGTCTGGGAATAGTGCCCATTGGCAAAAGCCAGACTAGAAGATCTCATAATGCATAGTAAAGTGGGTAGAGTGCTCAGAAAAGCCTTGCTGCAATAGCGGGAAATAATTAGTCCTAGAATATATGCTGCTCAGGTCCTGTTAAACAAATCTTAAAAGCGAGATCAAACGATTATGAAATAAATAATCACATTCCCAGATAAAGCTCAAAAATATTTATAGGAATATGAAAATATTTAGCAACCAACAAAGTAAAATTCACAATGTATGACATCCAATCCAAAATTACCAGGCATACAAAAAAGCAGGAAAATATGACCCACATTGAGAGGAAAATCTATTCATTGAAACAGATCTATATCCTACACAGACAGTAAAATTAGCAATTAAAATGCAGTTAGACATTACCATAACTGTATTTTATGTGTTGTAAAAAAAAAAAACAAAACAGATCCCAAACCAAAGCACAAGGAAAGATCCAAATTTGAACTTCTAAAGATAAAAACTACAAGTCGGAGATGAAAACAAACAAACACTGATTGTGATAATGGCAAATTAGACATTGCAGGAAAAAAAGGTTATTCAGCATGAAGGGATAGCAATAGAAATTATTCAAAAGTTTCATGGAGACAAAAAGGGATATCGGAAAAAAAAGAGAGAGAGAGAGAGAGCATCAGTGAGCTCTTGGAAAACTTTAAGTGACATAATATATGTGTAATTGGACTCCCAGAGGAGGGAGAGGGACATAAAAACTTGAAATAAAGGCTAAAGTATTTTTAAATTGGGTGAAGCTGTAAGTGCACAGGTGCATGATCACAACCACCAAACTGCTCAAAAACAGTGAGAGAGAACATCTTAAAAGCAGACAACAAAAGAAAGACATGTTACAGATAGAGATACGAAGATAAATATGGCAGCAATTTCTCATCAGAAGCAACGCTGAGAAGGAAGTAGAGCAACAACTTTAAAATACTGAAAGAAAAAAACTGCCAACCTTGAATTCTATACTCATGGAAAATATCTCTCAAAAATAAGGGTAAAATAGAGACTTCTCCAGACATACAAAAGCTGAAAGAATCATCACCAATAGACCTTTATCATAATGCCAAATGTTAAACAAAGTCCCTAAGGCAGAAGGAAAATGACTCCAGATGGAAATATTGATCCATGTGAGAGACTGAAAAGCAACAGAAATGTGAAGTACAGTATATGAATAAATAGACAAGATTTTTTCTTGGCATTTAAAGCACTTTACATGATGGTTTATTATTATAATAACAATAAAATATAAGTAACAATAAAGTAGAACATAATACTAAATAATAACAATGTACTGTTGGGTTTATAACATATGTAGAAGTAAAATGTATGAAAACAAAGACACAAAAAATAGAAGGAGTGAAATAGAGGTATATAATCATAAAGTTCTACTTTATGTGAAATATTATAGTATCACTTGAAAGTAGACTGCAGCATTAAAGAATTATACAACAAACACAAGAGCCATCAGTAAAATAACGAAACAAAAAGTTACAGCTGATAAGCTAGTAATATAAAATGGAATAAAAAAAAACTTAACCTCAAACAAAGCAGAACATGGGGATCAAAGAATTAGATGAAACAAATAGAAAACACACCTCAAGATGACAGATTTAAACCTAACTATATCAATAGTCACATCACTAAAGTCAATGATCTGAACACCCTAATTAAAAGGCAAAGATTGTCACATCATATTAAAAAATAACACTCAAAAGGGAGTGGGCATTAGTATCAGGCAGGGTAGATTTCAGAGCAGAGACTACTACAACCCGGAACAAAAAAGGTCATTTCATAATGATAAAGAGGTCACTTCATCAGAAGTACATAATTATGTAAATATAACCGTGATTAATCAAAGCTCACTAGGTAATGCTTCCGAGGTGCATTCAGAATGTTCAGAGAGGAAGAAGCAGGGGGAAAATCGTGGAGTATACTTTATAGAAGTTCCCTGCCCTCAAGATTTTGTTGGTGCATGGAAAATGGACTATTGAGGATCCCTAATTTAAGAAAACATAAAAGCTTAAATTTCAGACACAAGGTCAAAACATAAACTAACTCTGTAAAAATTGGTTCTTTCATCCTCTTATGTCCATAAATTTACACACATACCCTCCCCCGACACACACACTATGTTCGCTTTTGTGATTTTCTTAAAACAAACCACGTGTCAGGCTCTGTGCTTATAAAAACATATATAATATTTGTGTTCTTAAATAAAAATCCTGTGCTGTCTTTTTCTTTAATGTAAACTAATTTTTAAAATGTCAGACTAAACCTAAATATTTTTCCAGCTATAAGTCACCAAAAAAAAAAAAAAACACAAACAAAAACAAAACATCCAAATAGCTTAGAGAAAAAACTGCTCATTAGCATGTCACAAATAAATAGAAATGTGTTAGTGCCACCCTGTGGTAACCTTGCACCTTGTAAAAATGTTATACAAATAAAGGGGCTACATTTACTGGTATTAGCTGTCTTCACGTAAAAAAAAAAATTCAGTTTTTACCTTGAAAATATTCTTCTGAATCCCCCATTGTATCAGGCCCTCTCTGAAAGCAAGGAGGAAGCCTTGTTTCAGGACCCCCAGCAACTGCACATGGGAGGCGCTCCATATATGTTTACTCTAGGCTGTGCTTTTGATTCAGTAGTAGTTAAAACCAGAATTTATCTTAAAGAAATAATCACAAAGACACCAAGATTTAGCTACAAATATCTACTGTAGCTTATTTAAAATAGTCAAAGTATTAAAGTCAACACATATGTCCAATTCCAAGTTGGTTAGATTGTACCATATATTATGATAATATACAGCCATTGAAAATGATGTTTTGAAAAACACTGAATGGTATTATTGTTCAAAGTACATTATTTTAAAAATCAGATTATGAGATCATATTCATAAGATAACCTCATTCTTGTTTGAGATATATACATTACAAATTTCACTTTTGGAATCCACGGTGTTGAGGTTGCCACAAGGAGACACGGTAGATCCCCCAACGCCTGCCATCTGAATTCGGGTCAGATGTGGAGACTGATGATGATGTCGCCCACACATCCTAAGAGCCTATGAAAAGGTTTTTCGCTCACATACTGAGGCCGTCTGGTGAGAATAAATCTCCCAAGCAGGTCTAACACTGGCTGCAATGAAGGGGTAAGCTGGGTGAGGGTGCCCACACGTGAAGCAGAACTCGTGTGTTTTGAACTCCTCACTGGAGCCGTGGTCGGGAAGAAGAGGAAGGAGGAGCGATGGGGCTTGAGAGGTGTGAGCCATCAAACATCAAAAACAGAGTCAGGCTTTGCATGACACACATCTACTAATGTGTGCGTATATTCACGGACAGGCAGCTGAAAGGATATACACCAAAATGTTGACTCTCATATGTAGTGGGGTTATGATTGCATTTTATTATCTTCTTTTTGATTAACCATGTTTTAAAAAATGAACTCCCATTACCTGAGGATGGAGAAGTGACCAAAAAACGACAGTCTCGGTGTTTGTGTAGCTTTTGGCTTGGAAGGACCAGAGAGATACAGTGTTGAGTGAACAGAAGTTACATGCTTGGGTCTAGTGCTCAAAAGACCTGGGATCCCAGGCCCCTCTGTGTTTTAGGGTGTCCACACATGGCCATGTAAACTGTGTAGTTTACAACCAACACATGGGGCTGCCCTACATGGGCTCACATGAGAATTAAATGAGCTGCACATGGTATCCAACACAGAAAACCATTCCAAACATTTTTAAACTAATTAATTCCTAACAATTAGCAGACATCATTTAGCTTAAACAAAAAATTAACAATGCCAACATTTTCCCTAAGAAAACATCTATGCAGCCTTGACTCATTTTAAACATGCCACAAATAAAAATTTAAATTTCTACAAATGGCAAAGTACAAGTGACAAGGGTCTTCTTTAAAAATAGCTGTTCTTGTCCATATTATTTTATTGTATAAATAATTTCTTATTATAAAAGTAATACTTGCTAGTCAAAGAAAATTTGAAAAGTAAATAAAAAGAAGAAGAAATTACTCATTAAACTACTATGAACTGTAGTTGCGGGTATAAATTCTTTCCTGATCCTTCCCTAGGCACAGGATTTTAATGTCTATTTTTTCAACATTTTACATCAGAGTGCTGGTATACTTTTATCATCCCTCGTTTATTTTTTTGGAGTTAAATAATACGCCATATATTTTTATATGTTTTATAATTATTATAAACGTAGTAATTAATGATGCTGTATTTCTGTTTCCTTATTATTAGATATTTTAAGGTTTTCTTTCCTCTTTTTATTTTCAAAAAAGGTAATCCCGGTGCTGTGTCCAAAAGCTTAGGACTCACTTCTCTTTGACCTAGTACATCTCCTCTACTATAAAATCTTGCCAGTCCTACCTCCTAAGAAACCCTTTAATCAATACGCTGCATGAAGTTCCTTCCCTTACTCAAACCACTAGGCCCCCCACAATAGCCAGGTATTCCTGTCTGTTGCCCCTAGATTGTTTTGTGGCCAGAGATCTCTAGAACTTACACCAATCATGTCATTTCCTTGCTTTTAATTTTATTTAGTGGTTCTTGATGTGCGATCAAGTACAATCGTGACCTTCAGAGCCCTCTGCCCTCTGGCTCCTGCCTCCTTCTCGAAGGCTCGCCTTGCACCATCTCATCTCTCCATCCCACCAGCTGGGACTTCCAGGTCTGCGTCTCCCTACCTCATGCCTTCAGGCCCTGGGATACGCAGTGCAGTGTCTTCTACTTCGAACTTCTATTTTATTCCAGAACAGAGTATACTCATTCTGAAGGTCACACCTTAAACGTCACTTCGTTGAAAGACCTTCTTGTCCCCTTCAGAACAGATTAGAGCCCAAAGCTATAAATTTCCTAGTCTTCCCTTCCATAATGTTCATCTTACCTCTAGTAACAACAACATGTTTGTGGAGGAAAGCTTAAAGACAGTGTACTAAATGTTTTACCTGGTTCTCTTGTGGACATGAAAATGAGAAAGCAGAGGCCCGGGGACTGTGGACTTCCCCAAGCCACAGAGTTAGTAAGAATAATATTGGAAGCTTCTTGAACATACATAGGAAAAAATTTGCTCAACATATTAGCAAAACCAAGATTACAAAGAACAGTATTTCTTGAGTAGGAGGAAGAAAAGGGAGAAGAGAGATTAATATCGGCAAGAGCTAGGCCCTAAAGAGATAAACTGATTGGGACAGGGAGGGAAGGAAGAGTCGGCTGAAGGAAGAGCTGGGCCCAAGGGTACATGGGTTGAGGATACATACGAAGGCTTTAGAAGGAGCCTCCCCCGGGAGGGGGCAGACTTAAACCTACAGAACAACTTCAAAAGACCAAAGTTGTACTCTGGGCAGGGACTGAATGGGTGAACAGGGAGACCCAAGAAGCCTAAAATACGGATCATTCTGTCTATAAAACACAATTAACATTCCCTCTCTGTAGGTAGAAAAAGAGCCGGCCGTGCGCTGAGAAGCTGGATTTGACTTGAGAATATGTTACAACAAAGATCCTCAAGCTCCTAAGAGAGTAAACGGGGCACACCAAGAACTAGGAATGTGACCAGGAAAGAGTTAATACACCGAAGTTTAGGAAAAATTACTATTAAAAAAATTAACATAAACAAAATAGTCCCCCAACAAATAGATTGGTCCTCAAACTCTAAAGACTTTTCTAATAACCTTAAGATTCTAAAGGATTCCAAGATATTGAATAAAAAGGTGCAGAAGTTACCATATCAACCACACATACCAGTTTACAAACCAGTTTTGCATGATCATCTCTGAATAATTTGGTTAACAACAACAATAAACTATTTTACTGAATTTTAATGGAACACCATCGTTACATAAAATCAAATTTGCAATTCGCTGTGTGCCTTTTTGTACACCAGACATATTTAAACCTCTCATAGAAAAGCAATGTATTTACTTTTGACTTGTTTTTAATATTTTTGAAGTTAACAAATGGGCACCTAAAAACACACTTCGTAATGGCCAAAGAAAGTTACTTGTCTGTTAGTAAGTAAAACAAAGAAGATACGCTCCAGGTGACAAGTGTGTTCTTGCCGTAAACTCACAGCGTGAATGAGCGGTCCCAGCACGACAGCACTGTCCACGCAGCGCCCCGTCAGGACGACGTCGGCACCGAGGTCCAGGGCCCTGCTTATCGGTCTTGCTCTTTAGGGAACAGAACATCCCCGTTATTGTTTTTAACCCAGGTCAGATGAAAACTTTTGACTAAAGCAAATAAAACTGCTTATCATTTTGTCCAATGACTCGAATAGGCTTCAAGGCATTCTTGGCATAAAATGATGTGTACAAAAACACTCTCCTAGATACTTCCATTATTAGTATTATTATTTTTAACCAGTATTTTCTAGGGAACTGTTTATTAAGTATTCTGTCATCATTGCACCCATTCTACAATGCTGGTTTATCTGGGTACACAATTCTGGAACATCAGTCATTTTCCGTCATGGATATTATTTCACAATCTCCTGGTGTCTGGCTTTACAGATGGGAAGTGTGTTATCAGTGTAATTACTGATGTTTGTGTATTGTCTTTTCTCTTTGGATACTCTTACAATCTTAGTTTTTGGGTTTTGACAGGTGCATGTTTTATATCTTCTTGTTTAATCTGCTTGGGATTGACTCCCCTTCTTTACCCTATGGTTAAAATATGTTTTGTCAACCTTGAACAATGCTCAGCCATTGTCTTTGGACACCGCTTTCCCCTCATTCTTTATATTCTCTTCTTCTAGCACTCTTAACTGGGTAGAACACTAGACCTTATAACTCTGTCCACATATTTCTAACTTCTCTTTCATTTTCCATCTCTAAGCTGGGCTGCATTCTCAGTAATCTTCTCAGATCCATTTTCCAATTCATAAATCTTCTATTACTTGTATCAAATTGGCTGTTTAATCTACCCATTGAGTTTTTACTTTGAAGACTGCATGTTTGATTAATAACGTTCATTTGGTTTCTATTCAAATCCATTTAGGCTTCTGTGAAAGCTTGTTCCCTGCTCAGGTTTGTATTCCATCCTGATTCCTTCAAACATCTTTCACATGCTTATTCTATTCTGGATAGATGGTGGGGTGGAGAATGGGAGGAATAAAGGACATAAGAGAAAAGGCCTTACCCAAGGTACACATTCATGCTTTTCATGGTGTCTGGAAATTTCTTCCCACTCTCTATGTCTGTGATGGCTGATCTTTGCAGAGTCTCCTTCTATAAACATTTTACAAAAGTATTTTAAATCTTTATTCATAAAGAGCTTACTTTTTATCCTTATACAAAAGTAGATTTATAGTTGTTCATATGGAAAATAATATAACTAATAATACTACAATAAACTGTGTTTTGCATACTCACAACTGTAAACCTACTTTTGCACCATGCTGTACATGCTAAAACAATAAAAACATGTAATAGATAAGTAGAATCTTATACATTTTATTACTGACACAAAGAAATTAATATGTATTGAAAACGGTATTCTGTTTCAGCCACTTTTCATGCACTGTTTCATTTAGCTTTCCAAGCAGCCCTGTAAGGCAGGTATCACAACCCCTACTGCGTAGACAAGGAACCTAACCAAGCCAGAAAGGCTGAGTGAAGCCTCGCAGGGAAGCGTGGAGGCTCCGGAGCCTGGGAAGCGCCTGGCTTCTCTGTGCTTCTCTGAGTTCCTCCTTCTTTAAAGTAGGGCACCAATGGTATCGATCCCATAGGACTGGCGTAAATGCATATATCATCTGCTCTTGCTCTTACAAAGTGATGTGCGGAATTTGAAAGGTCCTACAGCAATTTCTCTGTAGGAGAGAATCATGTTTCCTATCAACGCCAAAGTTAAGAATGAAAGTTATCAATACAATTCCCCCAAAGACATGAGTTTTGTTTTGCTTTCCCGCCCATGATCATGAAATGACATGTCCAGGGACTCCCAACACAAGCATGTTTTTGCAGGCTAAGCACTAAAGCACAGTTATAGGGTGGTCTCTATAACGCCCCTCCCTCAAAAAAGGGGCTCAGGCTAGGGTTGTGGAAATCAGGACGGAGAACCTGAAAGCTGTGTGAACCACCACAGCACCAGCTGAAGCTGCTGAGATACAGTCATTCATAAAAAGAATAAGTGATCGCCTTACAGAGACCCCAAAGGTGCCTAGGACACTTTCTGTTCCCCTGAAATTTGCCCACAGCACAAAGTGGCAACAAAACCAAAAGCAACTTCACCACCAAAGGGTAAAGCTGGGACCGCTCCACCAACAGGGACTTGGTGTTTTATATATATATTATAAAACATATCTATAATATATAACATAATATATATATACACACACGGAAATGTGTAATACTATGACAAGTATATTTTATGTTGTGTTCAGTTACTATTACAACAGGAGTAGGCAGGGTTTTGGCTATTAAAGGTCGAACTCCAATATTCCTAAGCAGGGACCTGTTTCATGGTATTACTGTTTCCATATTAGTTTCCTATAAACAAATTAAAATCTCTCCAGAGCTAGTTTCCTTTCCATAAGGGAAAAACAGGCCTACAGTTTAATTCTCTTGGATAAGATTTTATGTATTCGTCATCACACTGGGATCATTAAAGCAGAAGTCTGCCACATGCTAACGTTAACATCATGTTTAAAATAGATCAATGGGCAGTTAAGGCAGCAAACTCACTCAGAGCGGTTAGAAGAAGGATCAAGATGAATTAAAAATGTACTATTTACACAGAAATCAGACAGCTCTGGAAGGTTATCTCCACAGCGGTTTTCACGTATCGTAATCTCCGCCTACACAGACAGGAGGGCACGTGGCCGAGGGAAGCCACAGCTCTTGTAAGATAAAGTTAACCAGCATTCTGTTCTCACGCAAAGAGAGAAGTCGATTGATACTGTCTGCATTCCTGCCAGTTAGCAAAGTATCCAAAGGGCCTGCAAAAATGGTTTCTCTTTCACAAGTAGGATTTGACACCCTTCGCACTTCACGAGGAGCCAAGCTCGGACGGTACTGAGGGATCAGCGCCAGTGGAAAGCCTGATGCTTGCCTGCAACATTGAGCTGGTCAAATCGAAGCGCTGAAAAATACTCATTTCATTTCCCTTCCTGTTGTGACACAGAAGGTATCCCCTACGGCAAAATATATCAGCTGGAACCCAAATGATGTTAAGATTAGAAAGGTAGGTAATGACTTGTGCTAAATAACTTCATGTTTTAGAAGCACAATTTCAACTTAGATTTCCGTGTCCGAAGAAGGGTTATTTTAAACACTGTCTTTAGTGAACCAATAAATCTTTCATACCACACATATAAGTGGTTACAAATGCAAATGGATAACCAATCTAGGCAGCTGACATTCCACATTTTCTAGACTAAAGGGGCACAGATCAGAAAGAGACTTCTAGAGCTCAGCCCGAAGAGTTATACCAAAATCCAATAAGTAGACCAAGTTAAATGACCCTAATTGTTCATCGCATGATACAATGGCTTCTTGCTTAGGAGCACATCACACAAAGGCCAAGTAACCTCTCCCATGATGTCATCTCCAGTGACCACTGCTATGTTCAAGTCGACACCAGCCTTCCTGGCCATCTTGTCAAGGGCAGCAGCGCACACGAGAGGGTTGGTGCCCCCGGCGTTGCTGACCACACGCACGCCTGCCGGGAGAAAGACATCGTGGCTGTCACTGCGATGTGAGCTCCACGCCCGGGTTTCACTCACTGAACTCCTTCCTCTCCCCCTTGATTTTTTGTTTTGTTTTCCTTTTAGAGGCAAACACTCCAAAGGCAATGGCATCTCTGTACAGTGTTTATGTGGCTGAAGCTACTTCCGGTGTTTATGCCCCTCAGACGTACAGCTGGTGACTGATGTGAATGGAGATGTCACGGTTGGGTCCTAATAAAGATAGCTGCGGCCTATTAAAGAAAAGAGACTAGTTCTAATTTTAAACATTCTCGGGGTTTTTCCAAATGATCCTCTAGGGAGGACTGATTCAATCAATTACACTTTTAAAAACTCTAATCTTTAACTTGGTCTCTGAAAGTGATCTGCTGAGACAGGCCACGAGACTACTACAGACTGGCTTAAGCTAGAGATTCAGAATTCCAGAATTGAAAAGTAGAGAGGACTTTAGTGATCACCTAATCCAGGAGTTCTCATTTTTAAAGATTCATTATCCTTTGGGGAATCTGAAAAAAGCTATGGATTCTCTCCTTAAAAGGAAAAACTTTTTCTTTTTTTTTTTTTGCTTATAATTTCAGGGGTGTCTCAAACTCCCTGAAGCCCATCTTTGGACACCAGATTAAGAAACTTTGACCAAATCCAACCTCCTCATTTACAGACGAAGAAACTAAGGTGCAGAGAAGCTAAGTAGCTTGTCCAGGGTCATGTGGCTTGTTAGGGACAGTGGCAGGATGGGAACGCTGCTCTTCCTACCCTCTGTCTGCTGTCATCTGTGGTGTCAGACTTTATATATCTGTAAGGACTTGTGTGGGTGGTCAATGGCCATCAGAAAAATCTGCAAAGGGCTCTGAATGCTCCACTGAACCACTCCTATTAACTGTCCAAAAAGTGATTAAGTATAAATGATTAGAATTTATACCCATGAATCCTATAACTAAGGACAATTTTTTTTTCCAGTTTTCACTCTCTTCAGCCTTTGCAGGTGCATCTGAATCCATCGCATCCTCCTTCCCACCCCCTTCCACCCCACCAACACTTTCTCAAAAACACCCTCCTTCATGGGTCCTGAGGACTGTGCTATCCAGGCTGTTCCCCATCCCTTCAGCAGTCCACCCCTTCCCTCCCCTCCCAGGTTATATCTTGTTCTTTGCCTCCACCAGCCCTCCCCTTTCCCCAAAGCTCAGTTCTACTCTCCTTTATATCCATTCTCACCCCTCTCCTTCAGAAATCATTCCCAATAATGGCTTCAAACAATCCTTCTATTGAAAGAAACTCCCTCCCTCAAACCTGTTTCTATTTCCACCCTCTCACCCAAGAAGCGCTAATGTCTTCAACCTAGTTAGTATTGTGATGTCTAACTCCATATTCAGGATGTAGGAAGAGCAGTAGACACCCTTGGGTGTTACCTGACATCTTATGATTCCAAAATGAAAGGTAATATGCAAATAACAAATTTATTGCCGATACTTAAAGTTCATAAGAAGTTTTGGCAAGTCTGACTGACACCTTGTTTTCCTTTTTGTCTTGCTCTTTTTCAGGATGGCTGATTTTTTAAAAGGTGGATATGGCTCCCTCTAGTGGAAAACAATATTTTAGAAAACAGCCTCCTAACGAGTATTCTGAGATGCATCAACAATAAAACTAATAGGTACATAACTACATCAAACTATTAATTATTCAAAGCTCTTCATCTTAAATATTTTCATCTTCAAGATCTTAAACAACAACATATTGTAAGGGATTAATCCTTCTTAAGCAGAGATACATTTTCAGTGCTTAAGAGATATTCAGTAATGCCACTTGAGGTTACCTCAGGACCCAGCTGCAGACTTTCTTTGTTAGCCCAATAAACCACAGCCCTAGATAATGAGGCCAGAGTCTCATATTTGGTTCAAGAGTGGTGAGCAGCTTTCAGGAGTGCCATAGCCACATGTTTCAATCTGACCCCAGGGAGCCATCTTAGTAAGATTTCACAGAGACCCAGGGGAGGGAGAGTGACCCAGTGTAATTCTAACTCTTTGACTAGAAATCAACCCAAATATGCTGTGGGTTAACACTCGTTATATTATAAAATATTTTTTCACCTAATAGCAACTACCTTCTTTCCTCAGAACCACATCAAGGTGGCTAATAAAGGCTTTTGAATGTTCATTGAGTTAATTTACTTTTAGTAACATATATAGCTATACAATATAAATATGATATATAAATATTATATAATATATAAATATATATCCTTTCTTAAAATTTGACATGTCATTAAATACAGGAAATTAAGATAACGACAAACATTTTTCAAATTACCTTTTTTATGAATGTCCTTTATATATGGAGCCATGGCAGTCTGTACAAAATCAGGAACATAGCCCAAGTCCTAAATTATAGGAGTAAATGTGTTATCCACTGTGAAGCATATTTGGTCAACTCACGCAACAGACTAGTCAATCCTTTAATTACTTGCAAGGCTACATTAAATTTTAAGTAACTGTAATATTTATGTTGTCTAAAAAAGACCTAATCCCTAGTGAATTTGAGAATATAATCAATCAATGGAAAGATCAAACATTATGTTCAATATAAACTTAGTTTCCATTATTACCAAAGAGATGAAGTAAGGATGACAACTAAACAAATTATTCACTTCTCTTTTCTGATCCATAGTGGTTTTAACTTGGAAGTTTTATCAAAACCTAATATTTCCAACACTATACATGTCCTGAGTATACACTGATTCTCAGGAGAAGCTAATGATTTCCCATCATTAAATCAATAGATTATAGAAACAGATAGATTATAGAAATTGATAGATTGTAGAAAAAGAAGCAGGTAACCTAAAGGGTAGAGTGGAGTAAGAGGCACCATGGGTGATGTAGTTTCAAAAGTACCTCATTTTCGGTCAAACTGAAGTTTAAAGCACAAACTAGATAATTAGTTATGTTACTATGGGTTCATTTTAAAATTAATTCTACCAAGTAAAAGCAGCTGCTTACATGGACTAAATATCACAAAGCTGATGTCATAGCTACACTTAGAGAATATATACTCTAATAAGCTACATAATTTGAATGGTTCTCTTGTCTAAATGGAATTTCTGCTGGGATACTCCATGCTTCAAGCCAATTTCTTGGCCTTACGTATTAAAACCAAAAAAAGTTTAACTCAGTGGAACTAACAGAAATATTTCCAAGTTAGGACTAAGACACTTATCATGTATTATATATAACAGCATAGGCAATTTTTCATGTTAGTAAAGATTTTCATAACTATAATTTTAGTGGCCATGTAAGATTTCATTGCCTGGATCTCTCATCATTTATTTAACCATTCCCTTATTGATGGCCATTTAGGCCTTTAGTTTTTTGTGAATGTAATAAATAAGGCTACGTTATCCATGTTTGTAAGCAAAGCTCTTCCAGTTAGCTGCAGATAAATCTGACTTAAGGAATAGTAAATAAACAAACAACTTAAATTTTCTCTAATAAGACCTAATGTTTTAAAGTTTTACAATATGTCACTCATGCAAACACTGCCTTGTATAATTATCTCTTAAGGGTTACATGGTCATTAAAATGATCACAATAATTAACTCACAGGCGACTTTCCTTTTGCAGCAGTTAGCAGGCACATCGTTATCTCTGAGAGGTAATCGAAGACCAAGAAATCCAGCTTCTCTCCGTATAGTAGCTGAGGAACTAGAAGTAAAGCACTGACTTTAAGTTACTTTTTTAAAATGTAAATTCAACAATAATTTAATAAAAATGTTTAAAAAGTATAAGTAAAATCTTTTTTTTTCTTTTTTAAAATTATTGATCTTAGAGACAGAGGAATAACATCAACTTGTTGTCCCACTTACTTACGCACTTATTGGTGGTGTCTTGTATGTGCCTTCATCAGAGATCGAACATGCGACCTTAGTGTATGGGGACAATGCTCTACCCAGCTGACCTACCCGGCCAGGGCTTATATTCTTTACATTATCCCAAATCCGAAGTCTTGCATGTATACTTATGCATTTTGGGGGTATGCTCCTGGGAGCCCTTTCTAGCTTAATGAGTTTTTGGTCACTGTACTTTACGTTCAAGCACTGCCACACTGGGGTGATAATCCACTATTTCATCATGCTAACAAAAGGAAAAGAAAATTATTATATGGTAACAGGAAAGACAAGCAAACTGAAAAATATCTGTAGCCATGGTAGCCTATTTCCCCACTCCCAGTGCTCTCTAGAAATTATTTCCTTCAAGTGGCAAGGATCTCTTTCTAAAAAGAAATGATAAATTTCCAGGCCATTAGGTGTAAAATCTTCTTTGCTATTCCAGTCTCATAATCAATTCAGGCAACAATCAATTCTGTCCCTCACAGATTTTGGTCTAAGGGAAATAAGCAAGGTCAAAGGGACTGTCTGCTCTTCCCAAGACCCCAGTTCCCTCCTTCCCCCATTCTAAAATAATTGGTTGTCTTATTAAAAACCCCAAAGGCAATTCCCAAAGTAAAACACAAGAGACATAAAAATCTAAAGAAAAATGCTAGTAAAGATATTTTGTCCTAAACAGCATACGTTTAAAGGCAGGAGCTTTGCCTTAATGGGGTGCCCTGTCTCCAGCATTGTACCTGATGGTACGTAGCAAAAGTTGGTTGAATTATAGTTGAATAAATAAGAGAGTATATTTCAAATCAACTCTTCTTCTTGAAGGTTTCTTCACATTTTATCTCTCATTTTTCATAAACTATCATGGCATACCCAAGGATTACTTAAACCTCTAATGTCTTACTACCTGGCAAAGAATTCTTTATTCTGACATGTTGAAATTCTTAAAACCTGCTGTAAAGTTTCTAGGTAAAGGTTTCTCTTAGGCAGAAACATTTGCCACTAGGTTAGAGACCTTGCTGGGGCCAAGTCTTACATAACTACATAAAATAAATAGAGTGTTGGAAGGATTTCTTAATTACTGAGACAGTCATTTACATATTCTCCCCAGTAGATGCAACTACAATACCGTGTAAGACAGATAGATGGCTTTTACCATCATAAAAGAGTAAACTCACACATGACGTACATTTGAAAAACTCATTAAAATAGGAAACTACTGAAAGACACATGGATCTTTAATTAATTCTATGTTATTTCTTCACAACACTTGGGCTCAGAAAGATCAACAGCAACTCCTTTGAGACGAGAAACGGTACCATCCGATGAGATGTCCATCAACCTCCAGTTAAGCCATTCTGCAGACTGCACACAGAATGGAGTCTTTTCATCAGTGATTTCCAAAGGAAGAAATATCTCGCTTTGGGACTTGATGTCAAGATGTTTAGGAACAGTGCGAAATTCAAACAGGCACAAGTGGCTGCGCCTGTGATCACGGGAACATTGCGGGAAGGGAGAAAAGGAGCACAAGAATAAATGGGCGCCGCAGAAGTCAGACAAAGCCCGCCTCGTGACTGACGGTCAGCTCAGATGACCACCGCGGGCGGCAGAGGCAATGTGAAATCCCACTGCGTTGCAAGTCAGTCATGTATTTTTAAATGTTTCCGTGTTCGCATTTTTAAATCATATCTGTCAGTGTTTCAACAGTCCAGAAGCAAATGGAGTGGCTTATGAAATCTGTTTTCTTGAGGAAAGGCATGTAAGCAGGTGTAAGACATGGTGGAAAATGTCAAGAAGGAGCAGAACTGGAGGTCAGTCTGCCTTCCCTTCAGTGTATGGGAACCTGCCAGCAGCCCCGAGCCCAAAGGGAGGGACCAGGATGCGGAAGCCACAGGGGCCTCCCCAGAGGACCCTCTCCCAAGGGTGGCGAGCTGGAGTCTCGCTCCCGGGGAAGCAGCCGGAGGGTCGGAGTGAGAAACGACTGGGCCCCACCCTAACTGTGGGGCTGAGGGCTACTGGAGAATTAAACGAACAAACTTGCTTGTGCACTGTGATAATCAGAACTTTTTTTAAAAAGTAAAGAGATGAGAAGACTGAAATAATCATAAAATTATTTCTCTATGGTTTATATTTACAAAAGAAAAAAAAAGGTTCTTATTCCTTGTTGAGAGTCCTGGGTTTTTGAAAGGTAAACAACATGGTGCATTGGTGTACATCTGTAGATAAAACAAAGACAGACCTATAAAAATTATCTTGGCCTCAGGAAATAAATTGCTTCCTGTTTTGCATTCCCAAGGCCCAGCACAGTGCTCAAGAAATATTCATGAATGAGTAAATGTTAAATTAAAACAATTCAAATTATGTTGACATTCCAGAATTCCTGACAAGACTGGTGTGCCTGAAGAATAAGCCCATGTTCAACTGGTTACTTGACGTGCTGTGTGAGAGAGGCGCTGTGCCAGGCCGGGACGGACAGGACCTGGTCCTAGCCCTGTAAGGGCTTGCAGAGCCTTCTTATTTCATTGGAAAAGAAAGACATTTACTGGCCACAGACAACGTCTTCACTGAAAAAGTCCCTTCTCTGAGTGCCATGTCCCGTGCCCCATCAAGCACGGTTCTCTCCAGGTCTAGGACGGCCCTATCCTGGTTGAGCCCGCCTGTGTCAGAGCACCTGCCACCATGTGGTGAGTGCTCTGCTCCTGGAGACTGAGAACCCAGCCTTGTTCAGGCTGGGCTGCCAGGGTGGGAGGTGTCCAAGGGGGCAGGCTGCCCGGGGTGGCAGGGGCTGCAGGTATGGAGGCAGCCCGAGGGCGGGGCTAGGGGGAGTTCTGCAGGCTACCTGGGTTCTACAAGTCACTCTGAGCCTGCATGATTACTGAGGAGACGGCTGCAAATCACTGTAAGGCTACCTTGCAGTGACTGCTTGGGAACCCCATGGAGGTTCTGAAGCTGCCTCCATTTATTTATCAAGCAGTCCTGTGGTCTATGATTCTTAAATCTTCACCCACAAGAATGCAAACCTGGGCCTGGGTCTCAGAGCCCCCACCTCACAACTGTCCCTGCCCTGGAGGCTTCGAAACTAACTCAAGAGTCTCAAGAATATGGCCTATTGGAGTTTCAAGGAAAGACTAGCTCAAGGGGAAAAACAAAAATATCAGCATGCTGTCTGTCTACCTGCTGTTTTCTAACTGCTGGAGGGATGACTTGTTTCTTGTCCTCAAACAACTTGTATTGTACGCACCTTATAAAATTGGCCTAGACTATAGCAAGAGGCTGAGTTTCCTGAGGAGAAGGACATAATCATGTTCTCCATTGAATCTCTAAGGCCTAGCACTGTGTACTGAACTGAAATAACTAGAACCCACCCAGCGGGACTATGCTGAAGAAATGGCAGTTGACAACTTTTTACCAGCTCGTTACTTGGGTAACTTGCAAGTGAGGTAAGTGACTGAATTTGTGCACTGGTTTCTGTGAGAAACTGACATTAGAAGAATATGTATTGCTTTCTTAGGAATAGCAGGGCCAAAGGATAAGGGAAAATTGTGCAGGAATAATGGAACATCAGACAATCAGTTCTGTTAGAATCTATACATAGGCGGTATCGATGCCACTGATTATGCATTTATGCTATGAGCACTGAAATCAATTGTCCTGAAAGCATTAGCACAGTACAGTGCATGCAATAGTCCTCAGTGAGGTTAGTCCTGTATACATATAATAGTATACATGTGGTTTAATAGCCTACAAAACACATTCACACAGAAATGATCAAAGCTGCTCATTTTTAGCTTCCTTATACCTAAGTGCTTTATGTACATTCATGTTTCAACTTACACTCGCAAGAAACTGTCAAGGTATTATATATTATGCCCATCTCAGACCTTCTAACAACTTCACATGACCAGAAGTATAAAACCAGGATGTGAAACCAGGTTGTCGATTTGTAAAGCCAGAGTTCTTCCTAGCTTGCAAAGTGGCCTCACAATGTAATCTTGAATTTAGCCGTGTGATAGCTCTTACAAATCACTTACAGCCTCATCCATTCAACAGGGTCAATAACCTTACAGGCCGTTATGGTTTGAATAGTTGTGTCTCCAGTAAAACTCATCTGTTGAAATCCTAATGCCCAGTGTTATGATATTAGGAAGTGGAGCCCTTGGTCATGAATGTGTTTAGTGACCTTATAAGAGACCCCACACAACTCCCTAGCTACTAAGTCTTCAACTTGGAAGAGGGTCCTCACCCAACGATGCTGGCACCCTGTTCTCAGACTTCCAGACTCCTGCACTGCGAGATATACATTTCTATTGTTTATAAGCTACTCAGTGGCTGGTACTTTGTTATAGCAGCCCAGTGGGACTAGGACACACGCCGAGCACTAAAGACACAGCGGTGGTCAAAACTGTCAAAATGTCTGCCCTCCAAACTCTTTGGAGTTTACATTCTGGAGGTGGGGTTGGGGGTGGTGGGAAGAGGGAAGAAAATGCCCAACAAATATTTGTCACCTGACAAGTGCAATAAGGAAAGATAAAGCAAGTAAGGGGTTAGGAAGTCTCAAGAAGGATTGGGTAGAATTGTAGCTATTGGATGTGGAGTGGTAAAGGGTAGGTGTCTTTGACAAGATAGTATTTGAGTGAGCTGAGAACTGAAGGAAATGAAGAGCGAGCCCTGGGTTGTTCTGGGGAACAGTGTTCTAGATGGAACAACTACTAAGTACCCAAGACAGGAATGTGCTTGGTATACTGGGATCAGAGCTGGGAGGTTGCTGTGCCAGCAATGCTAGTGAGCAAGGGGGGAACAGGAAAGACAGGGCGTCAGAAAGGAAGCTGAGGCTCAATCACATAGTCTTTTAGGTCACTGTTAGACTTTGGATTTTTTTGTGAATGAAATAAGCCATTGGACAGTTTTCATCCAATTCAGGACATGACTGACTTGCACAATTACTTGCAGCTACGAGGAGTATAAACTGCAGAAGGGCAAGGGAAAAACCAGGGAGGCTAGGTGGGAGCCTACTGTATAGTCCAGTCAGGGAGATGGTGGTTTAGACCAGAGTGATGGTAAAAGACAAGTTCACCTGCAAGGGTTCGGGCCTGTGCTTGGAAAGACAGGGTTGCCTTTTACTGAGATAGGTAAGATGGGCAGAGCAGGTTAGGGCGGTCAGCTTTAAACATGTTTCTTCTGGGACGCCTTTTACAGAAGAAAACAAGAAGGCAGCTGGGTGCCTGAATGTGGATTTCAGAGCAGGACAAGTCAGTGATGGAGGCACAAATGTGGAGTCTCTCAAGGCATGGTATTAAATATCACGGAGGGGAGCACCCAGGCCCAGGCCACTCCAAACGTTAGCTTTTAGAGGAGAGGATCCTGTCAAGGGGACTTAGAAAGACTGGGCAGGGAGGAAGAAGTAAAACTTCATGAGACTTCAAGAAGGAAGCATTTTAAGGAGACAGTGATCAATTTGGTTAATACCACTGATAGGTCAAGGAAGATGAGGGCCCATAACGACCCCCGAATTTAGTAGTCATTGGCCAAATGGGTGGAGGTTATTAGTCCCAGCTTCCCTGAAATAAGAAAAACAAGGTTCCAGGAGATGCAGTAAACCGAACACCAAGGTCACATAGTCCATCAGCAGCAAAGCTAGACCCAGAGCCCAAGAGCAGCACAAGCCTTCAGAAGTTTGCCCTGCTTCTTGAATCCCAGAGCAGGCTCTCCTTCAGTGACACTTTATGATGCCATGCGCCCCTGGTAACTGTGATGCAGGAGAGGGACTCTAAGAGAACATTAAGACTGTAAATGAAAAGGAAAGACGTCAATATCAGAACTTCGGGGCATAATGACAGTGAGACAATGGTTTAGGATTTCGTGACAGAGACAGTATCCTTCTGTCAAATGAAACAGGCAGGTACTGCACGCCCAGGTGCCTAAACACACTTCAATACAAAGAAATGTTTACATCTCCTCGAAAGGAGTTCTCTGTGCATAGTATTCCACTAGATGACTTCCACGTAAATAAATAGACCAATGAATCCCCCCCAGGTCCATTCCCAGATGTTACTAGCATCCCTATAGTCAGGATTTGAATAATGAGGATCTCATTCTCCATCTTCTTTCCTTCACTTCTTTGTCAAGGTGCCCAAAATGGGGGGAGGAGAAAATAAATTTTTACTTTCGATTTTAATTTTAAATTAAATTTTAAGATTAAAATATTTTAACCTAGGGGTCCAGGGGCACCAGACAGCCCTCAACCATTTAAGTATAAAGGCCAATTTTAACAGTCCCAACGGCTCCCCTCAAATCCACGACCACCACCAACCAAGGAGGCTCGATCATTTCAGCAGTCCCTGGCTCTCCCCACGTCCGCTGAAGAATTTTGCAGACTAGGAAGAGTTCCAAAGGAAAAACGGGGAAGGGGGAGGGGGAGGGCGCGGGGAGGAGTGGCAGGGAAGGAGGAAGACAGGCACTTTTCCGGGGACAGGTTGAGCGGAGGGCTGGCGTCCGGGCAACTGCGCTGGGAGAGGGAAAAGGTCGCTGCAGGGCTGGGGCTTGTGGCATGATTTAGAGCCCCATCGTGAGGCTCTAAACTTTCCAGAGTTCCAAGCGCCGTGGCTCGAACTCTAGCGCCCACACCAGGTGTCTCCTCCCTCCAGGGCTGCAGCTAACTCTTCGCGCCTCCCTTCCAACCTTTCCTTCCGGGAGTTTCGGGCGGAAGGGGGCTTAGTAGGGGTGAGCAGGGGAGCAGATTGCAGCCGGGTTACCTGATGCCGCTGTGTCGCCCCAGAAGGCGGAGGCGCAGCCGATGCGCACGGCGCGGCTCCCCAACCCCTGCTGCTCACCCGCGCCGGCCTCCGCCCGCGTGCCCGGTGTCCGGGGCCCTGCGCTCCAGGCGGCCGCCCGCGAGAGCCGGAGCCCCAGCCCTAGCCGGACAGTCGCCCGCAGCAGGCGCAGCGGCCAGACACGGCTCATGGTCGCCCGCCCGCCACCCGAGAGCCAGCCAGCCGGTGCGCTCGCCCAGCGGTTCTGCGGAGTGACGGTGCCCCGCGCGTCACCCACTGGCCAGGCCCAACCAACGCCCCAAGCCCGGGTCACGGGGCCCCACTCCCTGCCACCTTGCGATCTAGTGATTGCGACAGCCATCGGCACGAAATAGACACAGAGGAGCTGCTGGCTCAGCTCCTTTCTCTGTTTTTGGAGTTTGTACCAGATTTAAGAGTCCTCCTTCAATTCTTGTTCCCTTTCAAATTGAGTTTGAGAAAGAAAAAAACCCAACAAGATAAAGATATGCGTCCCACCCAACCCACACACACTTCTCTTCCAAGAAGCCAGAGAACTCTGTCAACGCCAGCCTTCTTGCTTCAGCCAGGTCAGTGAAGAAACTTTACGAGAAACTATTATTTTACAATAAAAATAAGCTCTTATCCTTTAATTTTTTTTACATTTATTAGCATATTACATAAAACAACCCAGCGAAATTGTACAGTTGAGGAAACACACAGAGAAATCGGTCTGTTTCAGCTAGAAGGTCGCACAGCCAGAAGTAACGATGCGGGAACTGAGACCCAAGCAGTTCGCTCCCGTGTCCACACTCCGGGCTCTCAAGTTATCCTGCCTTAGTTAGAAAAAAAATAGTAACTACGATCTCATTTGATCCCCACAAAGAAAACTACGGATGGGTACTGGTATTGTATTCACCTTACAGACAAGGAGACGCGGGCACAGAGAGGCTACTACTGAAGCTGGAAAGCGGCAGGCAAGACACTAGTAGACTGTCCGGTCCTTAACAACCACGGGGTGGGGGAGGTGCTATTTTTGTATATTCATTCATACAGAGGGAGAGGGAGTCGCTTAGAAAGTGTATAAATCTTTCATAACTTTCAAAGGCCGAGCCCCTGCGCATTAGGCTCCAGCCGTTGGTGTCCTCCTCAGGCCTAACACTGGGCTGGAAAGTCTCTGCAAGCATCTTCACCATCCCCACACTCCACCGGCTGTGCCAAGAACATAAGGGCTCTTGACCCAGCTCAGAGCCATACTAAGGCCCAGCCATTTTGCCAACAGCTAGGATGACTCCTCCCTGAGTTGGGCATCAGGCGTTTAAAGTGCCTACACATGTGAGCATCATCCCTCTTGTGGCCAGGCCTTCAAGATGCTTCTGGAAGGGATAACCGTTGGCTCCAGTGCCAGCAAGCCCTCTTTGCGCCTAGTGGGGAAACAGTGGAGCTTTCTGAAGGGAGACAGGAGCGATCAAAGAGGAGACGCAGAGGATGTGTAAGGCCATGCCCAAATTAACAACTTGATTTATCTCAGTTTATGAGGTTGATTTCTTTCCCCCTGCAGAGACAAGACCTATTTTGCTCAGTGTATGAGTTCCAGTGAATCTGGGGATGATCAAGGACAAAGACCTGACCATGAGGAGGGAGGAGCACACAGCAAGGTTTATTTGGGCAACATTTTGATAAGGTTGCACGCAGGGGCCGGAAGGAGGAATCCCACGCAGCATGGAACCATCCAGAGGCTATGGCAGCACAGGAGCCACCACCCAGAAGAATCGTAGGAAAGGGAACATCCCCGGGGGATGAGGGGGATGGGAGAGGGGTTTTACATGTCTAGGTGAGACAGCTCAGCTACCCCTCCCGGAGCCTCTGCATCAGGGAGCTCCCAAGGCGGCAGCAGAGTGGTGTCTAAAATAGCTACAAAGTTTCTCTCACTGTGGCCAGCAGATGTTGGATGCAGTTTTTCCTGGTATGCAAAGCAGGCCGGCTCTCAATAGTAAAGGTCTGCTTAGTTGGGTTGCGTTTAAAACAGTTGAGTGGGCTTTAACGATGAGTATTTGGCATTGGTGCCTGCAGCCGTTTGAGTTCATGGGCCCCAGCCTGTTGTGAAGAAATCAGCAACCCAGGAACCAAAACACAGGACCATCTTTGGCTTGTTCACATAACACCCTAAGATTCAGTGGGGAGTACACCCAAGCACACCCAGAATCCTCAGCTCTACCAGGCCCAGGTCTCTCCCAGGCAGGTCACACACCCAAAGTCTGAGTTCAGGGTACTGACCTGACCCACTTTGAATGCTGGTGTTTGACACTGGCTGATGATTCATTCCTATATTGCCATCCTTCATCAGCACACAAGCAGAGGAGTCTAACATTCAGGCAACCAGTTATACACATACAAAAGGACTGGGTTGGAGGCCTTCCCTCCTTATCCCTCATACCCCCATAAATCTATGACGCAGTCTGAGTGGATAGGTATGTAGGTGTCCACACTCATGTGCCTGTTGTTACCTAGTAGTGAAATAACTTCACCAGCAGGTGTCTCTGTCACATAAGATATCAGAGAGGGCTTGGCTCCCTAGGTAGGGCCCCAACTGAGACCTACTTCTAAATTGTTCATATTCCGGTCACCAGCTCTAGTAAGAGCTATGTAATCATAGCTCTCAATAATGAGGTGTGCTGCATTAAACCCATTTACTGTGCAACCCAACAGGTTCCTCGGAGCTCCTTAGGAGATTCAGCACAGCTAGGGGATTAACTTCACAAAACACACTGATGAACAACATCTATTGACTAGGCAGTTCCCCGGCCTCTGGTCCCACACAGCATGAAATAAGTAAAATGATTCTTCCACTGCTCATTCTGTATGATCTGACATATGATCCAACGGCAGAGGTGCTCTCCATAGAACATTGTTTATCACTCTTTCATGGGAAAGCATTCCAAGGCCCAGACACGCAGGTGAACTCCAGCGCACAGGGTTTCCCGCTGGAGATCTGAAAGCCCGTGGCACGTCTGTTGGGCTGGGGCATGCGGCAGGGGCAGAGCCATTCCTTCGGCCTCTGCCTGTTTGGTTGGCTTTAAATTCAGGTCCAAGTTCTGTCCTCGGGCCCTTTTATTTTCATACCTTATTTTCTTCTTGGAAACTCTGATGGTCCCCCATTGACTCGGCGCTGGTTCTCATTCTCAAATCCCTGTCTTCGCATTCCAATGGCGGCCCCTTCGAGGTTTCACCACACTTAGAGTGTTGGAAATCACACTTGTTTTCTCTCTCCCCCTAAACCAGGTCCTCCTTCATATTTGCCTATTTATGTTAATAGTCAACTCTCCTATTCCTCAGTTATCATCTCTGACCCTTTCCTTCCTGTGTCTTCCTCACAATTCAGCCTTCTCCTAAATAGACTAGTCCTTTCTAGTCTACTTCTATGAAACGCTTGAATGTTTCCAGCTACTTCCTGTCTACCTTCTGTGTGCAAGGACTTCCACAGAGTGTTAAAGCATTGGGTTGGTGCCAGTCTACTTGCCGTTCTGTTGGCAGCATTGAAGAAATCCTCTTAAAGCAACACATGCCAGTAAATTAATTACCAGAAATTTCATTTTTAGCTTAAGTAGGAGAAACTGATACAGTTTGGTGTTTTTTAAAAACTCTTTTTGTAACAAGACCTAATTTCAGTGTGCCTTCAGTATAAAAACTAGCAGGGGGATTATGTGGGCTTTGAACTTGCTGAATAGAAATCAGCCCCCTTACATAAAGCAGGTGTGATTACTCTGCAGCACAGTGTGACGCAGTGGGCTTCCTACTTGCCTCCACATGGTATAGTAGTCACCTAAGGAAGCTCGTTAATAAAATACGGGCTCCTGGGGTCCATGCCCAGATAACTCTGATTCAGTATGTCTGGAAAGGGACCAAGGAATCTCCATTTTTAAACAAAATAAAAATCTAAGGAGACTCCTTAAGATATGGCCATACAGAAGAAAAATCTAAGTACTTAAAATATTGTCCTTACATCATGAAATTGCTTCATACAGATACTCTTAGTCACCAAGTTTGTATTATTTGATCCTATAATTCTCTCCCAAGAACTGTTTCCTTCAATCTTATCTGTAGAAGCTCATATCTTTGATTTCTAGTTTTATCTCAGGTTTAAATATCAATCTCGGTAGAAGTGACACCATAGGCTGGATCAGTCCTCCAACCTCACTGCGTGTGAGTTTATCAGATCCTATTCTTGGGAGAGCTGAACGGAGAAAGAAGGGACCAGTACACACCCCAGCTAGGGCAGGATACGGGGTCCAAGCTGGGGGTCAGTGGCAAGTTCCCTTACAACGCACAGAGGTGCGGCAGTCGCAGGTTAACTCCAAGCCGCACCTGAGGAGTGCGGAGGGAGGATCCCAAGATTCTGCACCAACTCCCTGCAAGAGCTTCCCAAAAGTAAGCCATGACGCCTCTCATTGGTGCTGGCATGGGACATGGGTGGGTGAAGTGGGCTAAGGCATGGGACCAGGACAAAGCTAGGAAAGGGGCAGGTAAAGGTTGCTTGCCTTTCTTTAGCATACACACTTTCCCTGGTCCTGTGTGCTCTGGGCGTTTTCCTTGAGTTATTGCAAATGCCCGACCAAGCCCCAAAACACAATACTGTATCAATCCCCTCCTTTCCCCAGCTGCCAGGATCTTATTTACCTTTGTTAAGGCCGTGCAGTTTGGTGAGCGCCCACTTGTTCTGGGCAATGGGAGTGGCTCAGGGGCCTGTGTGTAGCCTTCCCTCCTTATCCCTCATACAGTGGATCTGAGGCAGTGCCCAGGAGCCCTTGGGAATTTCTCCCAGAGCTGTGGCATCCTGGGACCTGTCCAGCCTATTTTATGGACAACATTTATACTTGGGTTTGTTTTAAAGAGTTATATAATTTTGCTTTTGTTTTCAAAAACTAAATACACGTGAGGTCCCCTTCAGTCAAAAAGTCACAGAGTATGTCTCTCTCCAATCCTGATGCCACTCAAAAGGAACCACAGAAGAATCGCTGTGGTTCATCCATGGGCATAACGGACCGGCCCTGTGGTGTCTGATGACCATGTTACACCTGTGAACAGATTCTCTGCAGAGACAGATGCTTTGGAGGCTGCTGGACTTTGTCTTTTCTTTTCTTGGCTGATCTTGTAAACCATTCATGGTCCTGTGCTTGACCTCAAATTGCATTTTAATATTTTATTTTAGTGTTTCAGTAATATTTAGTATTTAGTCATATTTTACTAAAATATACTTTATTCATT